TGCTCATTCATGAGTCGAATGTTACTAATGTTGTTCACGTTCGTTTCCAGTCACGCTATCGTCCAAAATGCTTGTAGCAGTAGTTAAAATTGACAACGTTGGCAGTAGTAAGTCATATTTTGAGTTTTTCATTGTGAAATAATCAACCTTATCCGAAGAAAAATCCTTTTATTTTGTTGAGAGTTTTGCGCTCAAATCTGTGATTTAATGCTAGAGCGGTAATTGCGACCAATTGTCGGATTCCTCGCGTGCTTTTCAGAGACGATGACGTCACAGATCACGCTCCAGCGAAAAATTTATATTGTTTACATACCGTAAGTGTAACAATCCTTATGAATAGTCTGCTCAATTACACGTTTGTTTTCGATAAAGTTTGGAGAACGTTTTTGTCCGTTTTTAGAACGTTTCACTTAGAACCTTTGATCACTCAAACCCGAATTCTGAATTTAGCTGAGCCGGTCGATCGTTTTAATTTCCCCTTACATTTATCTACGACGCAGTTTATATCCCGGCCAAGACTCTATCAGAAACAGTATGATAACACTTTTTTCAGTCCGACTTTAAGCTATAGGATTAAGACACAGGTATTGAAGAAAGTCGACGTTTTGTCATGCCAGTAGAAAAATGAAATTCTTAAAAATTGCATGATAATATGCGTGATTTCAGTTTCGGTCTTCGCTCCTCAGAGGTTTGACTCCGTCAAAAGCTGGCCTAATTCGAAATGGCGGCCGGTTGCGGCTCTCGACAAGGAAATGATATCAAAGGGGGAGGGCGATGGAAGATCGACAGTGTAGCGACCATTTAGCCGTGACAAATTCAAAGAAAGCCTGCGAGCGAGGCCTCCTGTTGGCTGACTCAAAGAGGAGCACGATATTCAAGGAAAATTTCTGACCAAGTTTGACCCACTCCATGTTAAGATTAGTCTTGAACAGACGAAATCATCCTTGTGCAAGTCTTACTTTCTTATCTTTTTTTCCTTTTTGGAATTTTAGAGACAAGTGCTTTTGATGCCCGTCAATGCTATGCCGGAGATCTCCCTTGCAGGCCTCCTCATTTTTACGGCAGGAGCCAAACTTTGGATGAAATTGTTGAGGTACTCAGTAAAAACAATGGCCAACGCCTTGTTATTATAACCGGCCCGCCAGGCTATGGAAAATCCTGTTTAGCGCAAACAATTGGACACACGATGATTGAAAAACAATTCAAGGTCATCTTCCTGTGTTTACGCGAGATCAAGTCTGTGGATAAGATGTCTGCGAAGATTCTACTTGCCTTAAACGTTTGCCAGGGACTGGCCAACAAACAGTGTGACTTGGCTAAGTCGCATTTAAGGTCACTGACCACAAAGACTATATTAATTCTTGACAACGCTGAGGATCTTCTTAGTCAAGAAGACACGAGACATGATTTTAATAATTTTATTGACCACGTGG